CCTGTTTGCGGAGTCATTGTTTTTGACGTGGTAAGCCTAGCATGCCCTCTAATGAATGGGGGGGTGGGGTAGGCAGGGACTATTGTGTTTGTTCCTTAAATAACAAACTTAAATTACCAGTTTTCCCTGAAGATTTCCTTCTCTTACCTACATATTTGAGCTGTTGCAAGAGAAATTTACCATTATGAATAACCATTTGGCAAATTCTAAGTATCTCTAAAAGCATAATTATCTTCCTTGCTATTTTCTGGCCCCTACCTTCCATAAGCATTTAAATGCTCATTGGCCAAAAGCGAAGCTGAACATCAGGCCCGTAAATCCTCACAGAATTTATTATTTCAATTAAAAAATAATAATAGAATAAAATATAATAGTTTAATGTCATAAACCCACATCATCCACCTTAACCATTCAGCCTATAAATATTACTGAGGTCTTTGCCCACTTATTTGATTTCTATGGCTACTTTTCCCAAATAGTTGCTATTCATCTATGAAATTTCTTCCTTAAATACTGCATTCAGGAAAATGTAAGAATGAGTAAATACAAAATATCATTGGACAGCCCAGGTGGCTAAGCAGTTTGGTGCCGCCTTTAGCCCAGGGCATGATCCTGGAGACCCAGGATTGAGTCCCACATCGGGTTCCCTTCATGGAACCTGCTTTTCCCTCTGCCTGTGTCTCTGCCTCTCTCATGAATAAATAAATAAAATTAAAAAAAAAAAAAAAAAACATGGGGCAGCCCTAGTGGCTCAGTGGTTTAGCACTACCTTTGGCCCAGGGCCTGATCCTGGAGACCGGGGATGGAGTCCCACATTGGGCTCCCTGCATGGAGCCTGCTTCTCCCTCTGCCTGTATCTCTGCGCCGCACCCCCCCCCTCGTGAATGAATAAAATCTTTAAAAATAAAAATTCTTTTCACTGTGTCTCAGACTTTGAACCATTATGTTTTCATTTTCATTTGTCTTCATGTATTTTCCTATTTCTTCTTTGATTTCTTGGTTGACCTATTCATTGTTTAGTAGCATGTTATTTAACCTTCATGTATCTATTTTTTTCTAATTTCTTCTTGTGATTGATTTCTAGTTTAATAAATACCATGATTGTCAGAAAAGATGCATTTGACTTCAATCTTCTTAGTCTCAAGATTTGTGACCCAATATGTGCTCTATTCTAGACATTTGATTTCAATCTTCTTAAATGTCTCAAGATTTGTGACCCAATATGTGCTCTATCCTGGAGAATGTTCCATGTGCACTTGAATGTGTGTTCTATTGTTTTTGGATGAAATGTTCTTTATATATCTGTAAAGTCCATTTGGTCTAATGTCATTCAGTGACACTATTTCCTTATTGGTTTTCTGCCTGGATGACCTATCCATTGATATAAAGTGGTGTGTTAAAAAGTCTACTATTATTGTATTACTGTCAATTTTTCCCTTTATGTCTATTAATATTTGCTGTATATACTTAGGTGCTCCAATGTTGGGTGTATAGAGATTTACAATTGTTATATCCTCTTGTTGGATTGGTCTCTTTAGCATTAATGGCCTTGTCTTTTGCTATAATCTTCATTTTAAAGTCTGTTTTGTCTGATAAAAGTATTGCTACCCTGGCTTTTTTCCCCCCGTATGTTTGCATGGAGTAACCTTTTCCATCCTTTCACTTTTGGTTTGCATGTGTCGTCTTAAGTGAGTCTCATGTAGGCAGCATAAGACAGTTCTTGTTTTTGTTTTTTTATTTCATTCTATAACCCTGTATGTTTTGATTGAAGCATTTAGACTATTTACATTTAAAGTGATTGTTGATAGGTATGTACTTACTGCCATTTTAATTGTTTTTCTGGTTGTTTTTGTAGTTCTTGTTCCTTTCTTCTACTCTCTGTGACTGATGACTTTTAGTGTTGTTTGGCTTTCTTTCTCTGTATTTTTTGAGTATCTGTTACAGGTTTTGGGTTTGTGGCTATCATGACATTCATATACGACATTTTAAGTATATATGTATTAAGTTGATGGTTAAGTTTGAACACATTCTAAAAGAACTTTTTTACCCGCCCCCCCATCATGTGTTCTGTGTATGGTATATTTTACATCCGTTTATTCAGAATTTTCTTTTAATTATAGCCTTTTACATGTAAAGAAAGGCCCTTTAACATTTCTTGTAAGGCTGGCTTAATAATAATTAACTTTCATCTGGGAAACCATTTCTCCATCAATTCTGAATAATAATCTCACAGATAGTCTTGTTGCAGGTTTTTTTCCTTTCAGCACCTTCAATGTATCATTCCACTTCCTTCTAGTCTACAAAGTTTTGCTGAAAAATCAGCTGATCATCTTATGGAGTTTCCCATTGTACCTATTTTGTTTTCTCTTGCTGTTTTTCAAATTCTCTTTAATCATTAACATTTTAATTATGTGTTGTGGTATAGACCACCTGAGTTCATCTCTGCTTCCTGAACCTAGATATGTTCCCTTCCCCAGGTAATAGAAGCCTTCTGTCCCCAACTCTCCTCTTCTGGGACCGCTATAATGTGAATGTTTGCCTGCTCTTGTCCAAGAGATCTCTTAACATAGCCTCATTTTTAAAAATTCTTTTTTGGGGGCACCTGGGTGGCTCAGTCAACCAGCTAGGCATCAGACTCTCGATCTCAGCTCAGATCTTGATCTCAGGGTTATGAGTTCAAGCCCCATGTTGGGCTCCACAATAGGCATGGAACCTATTTAATAAAATAAAAATTCTTCTCTTTTGCTGTTCATCTTGATTGCTTTATATTACCGTCTTTCAGATTACTGATCCATTCTTCAGTATTTGCTAATCTGTTGATTCCCTTTAGGGTATTTTTTTTGTTATTGTATTCTTCAACTCTGATTGGTTCTTTTTATATTTTCTTTGTTCAAGTTCTCGCAGAGCTCTTCCACTGTTCTCTCCAGTACACTGAGCATCTTTATGATCATTATTTTAAACTTATCAGGCATATTGCGTATCTCCATCTCATTTAGTTCTTTCTCGAAGGTTTGGTCTTAACTCACTTGGAACATATTTTTCTGTCTCCCCATTTTGCTTGACTTTGTGTTTATTTCATGAATTTTGTGGGACAGCTACTTCTAAACTCAAAGGAATGGTCTCATGTATGGCCATCCCGTGTAGACTGTGTATACCTGGTGATTTTGATTTGCTTGCTGGAGCTGTCTGGCATAGGCTGGGGTGCTGGGGCTGTCCTTTTGGGATAGCCAGAGCTGAAATGGGCATAGCCTGGGGTGGTTCCTGTGCTCTCTGTGCAGAGGGTACCATGGCAGGCTAGCTGAAGCTGAAGTGGGTATGAACTAGGGTCCCTGGGATCTCTGCAGAGGGTACCCTGGTGAGGCACAAGCTGGGGAATCTGGAGCCAAGGCTGGGTGTGAGCTGGGGGGTTCTGGGGCACTCCACACAGGGTATGCCCTGGCAGGTAAAAGTAGCTGAAGTAGGCATGTGCTGGCATGGTCCTGGGGCTCTTGGTGCAGGGAACACCCTGGCAGGACAGCTGAAACTCAAGTGGGTGTAAGCTGGGGTTCCTGGGGTACTCAGTGCAAGGGATGCCCTTATGGAGCAGTTTGAGCTGAGGCAGGGTGTGGGTCAATGAATCCTGGAGCACTCCACACCGGGGTGCCTTGGTGGAGTGGCTGGAACCAAGGCAGGCACTGGCTAGGGGTTTCTGGAGTGCTGTGCCACAAGTGTTCTGGCAAGTCCTCTGGAGCCAAAGTGGTAGAGGTTTGGAGTGTTTTGGGGTGCTGTGGGCCTCTGTCACCTTACTGAGATGGTTGGTGCTATAGTGAGCACTCACTAAGAGTATCCTGGTGTGTGCCCCATCCTGGCTCCAGCTGAGGCTGCCTTGGTGGGATGACTGGGGCTGGTGTGGACTCGAGGCATGCTAGGGTTGCCTGACTGTTCTCATCCACGCTATCAAAGTGAAGGGGGGACATAACCGTGGCACTTACTAGCCCCTCCAACCCAAAGAGAGTTCTAACAGCTCCCCTATCCTTTGGTAGAGTTCCTTTCTATTCTAGTTTCTCTTTTAAACCAGTTTTTTTCTGTGCCCCAAGGCATCCAGGGCTGGTATGTAGCCCTCATTTATTTTAATGTTCACCTTTAGAAAAAAAAAAAAAAATTGCAATGACCACTGGGCTCAAAGCTTTTGACAGGATTTTGTTTTTCTTCCTTTTCATTTGGAATGAAAAATAGTTGGTAATGAAACTTGGGAACGTTCTGTAAGATATAATACTGAAAAGAGTTTACTGATCCCCATGGAGAGTTTGGGTTGAATATAATGAGGAAATTTGTAAGAATGTCATTTCCTTCTGAAATATATATTATTTTTATTCTACTTGCTAAAACACGTAAGGTAATAAAGGTTAGTTTCCATTCACTGAACCATCATTTTATTTCTATCCCCTCACATTTACATTGCTTCTAACAGGATTTTTTTTTTAAATCCTCTATGGTCACAAAATTTAAGTAGATTAAAGTACTGAAGCTTATTTTCAATATTTTTTACCAAAATAGTTATGGTGAAACAAAGGGTATTTGGGAGAAAGGAATTTCACTGTTTTTTTTTTTTTTAAGTTGGTAAAAGTAATACTTTCTTACCCAAATTAAATATTTAAAGAGTGCATAAAAGATAAAGAGCCCTTGTATAAACTTAGTATACTTCATTAGGGTCACAGCTTTATATTACGCCATATTTTTGAAAAAGAAAGCTTAAGTACCATTATAGTAATAGCTCCATAACCATAGTAAAGTTGTAGTTCCTTTTGAAGGAAACCTATTTTGAATAAATATCTGAAAGTTCAGAGAGCCTAAATTTTCTACCGTAAGAGTGTGACATTAGAGTGAATGAAAACCAAGGGGATAAACCTAAGTCCTATGCATTAAAAAAAAAAAAAAAAAAAAGTAACAATAGAATGATCTGTGTCACTATAGCATGCATTCACATTCAAATATGAAAAATACCACACAGAAAACGGAAACATTTTTAAAAAAAGATTTAAGATCATAAATAGGTCATTGTTGTCACAACACATTTGAGAATTGAAAAAAACATTTTGGCTTTTTAGAAAATTTTTATCAATTCCCTCATCATTAAAAGGACTTGTACATTTTAAAATTTCCAGTCTCCTAAGGCACAATATTTTATCAGAATGCCAATATCACCACCTGCTGTAGCAGGAATAAGAGGCAAGGTATTAGCACTAAGAAAAATAGTAAATTTTATGGACAAACTCATCAGTCATTTAAAAAAAGGGGGCAAGAGACTAATGATCATTTTAGTTAAGAAGACCCACTGTTATATAGGGATCTGTATTTAAAAAATTTTTAATCAAAGTATTTTAACTTAAACAGACTTAATTCACCACAATCAACTCAGAATAGCATATGGGGCAAACATCAAGTGGAACCCTGATTAGAGGCCTAGTTTATTCCTAGTCTTCAGGTAGATCCGGAAAAGTAAGACTAGGTAAACCTAATACCTAGGTACATACTGTGAGGCTTCTGTTCCTTAATCAGATGGCCCATTCTAGCTACTCCCTACTGAGATATAGTGAGATACTATAATCAGATGCTTAAACTGTTTTCTTTATCCGAGAAGTTCTTTAAGATAAAAGTGTAAAAATTCCTCACTTTTTAGGTCTACCTTGCTTTATCCTCTGTGATACCAACTGAACTTTAAAGGTTTATATGTACAATATGGTGATTTAGTGTTACTTTTAAAAGAAAAAAACCCCACAAAGTTAGTGATTGTCCACAGATGAAACATCAGATGAGGTTCATGACTGAAATCAATCATGGAGTGTTAGTCAATTGTAAACTCTGGAAAGTTAAGACTGGGAAATGTGCATATCAGACACATTAGAGTACAGGAGAAGAAAGGAAGCCTATTTGTCATTCCAATTCTGATAAGGTGCACGGTCTTCGAAACTCTTGTCCACGTTCATGGAGCCACTTATTGGATACTGTGAGAGAAAAAAAATATTAATATTCTTTACTATCTAATTAGTTTAATGAACTTGCAGGAGCTAGATCTGTATCAAAGTTTCTAAATGAGCTAAAAGTTCAAGACCAAGTAAGATGAAGGCAGATGAAGAACTCCACTGAAAGTTGGAACACACATTGGAGAGTTTTTGTGCATTTCCTAAAGTTTCTGATGTTCAATGAAAGGCTTGAAATGAAACGCAATTGGAATTAAGATGTAGGTACAGACAGAACATTATTTTTCCTGTTTGCAAAATACAATCTCTGATAGAGACATTTTAAAAATGAACACAAAGCCTCCACTCTCCAGGAACAACTCTACAACCAATCACTACTATTATGTGCTCATAATTAAGTTTCCTTGATTCTGAGATACTGCTTTACAACGTACATCAGATGGAATTGTCTACTCTTCCTATATCCTACAGATCAATCAGTGGCATCAACGTGTATAAAATATCTAAACTAGGACCCATAATTACCCTGTCACTTATTCTTATATAGCTCTTCAGCCTCTTTACTCTTCAACCCTTTCACTGCTGCCTTAGTCCAGGCTTTCATCCTTGCCCACTTAGACAAGGGAAAAGAACTTTCTAAATGATCTCCCCTTCACTACTCTCTTTTAGTCCAGTGATTCTCAAGCATTATAATCATCAGGGGAGATTTTTAAAATCCTAATAATCAGGTGTCAGTCCTTAGTCCTGCTATGTCTGATATGGTAGCCACTAGACTAGACACATCGCTACTAAGTACCTGAAATGTGGCTAGTAATACATACTGAAATGGATTTCTATATTATTTAGCCTCTATTTAAAACCATCTGGTTCTATATCTTTTTAATGTGGCTGGTCATGCACTAGCATGACCTTGAATATCTCTCTAGCCTCATGAGTCCTGGTCCCTAACATTCCTGGAAAATATACTGCTCTAGCTTCAAGACCAAGTTTTAAAATTAAGCTTTAGAGCCCCAATATAATGAGTTACCATCTTCTGTTTACATCTCTGTATTAGTAATGCACTATACTATATTCTATTTATCCATTAGCATGTCTCAATCAGAATAACTGTAAACTTCTTGAGGGATAGATAGTGTCTTATTCAAGTGGGAATTCAAGTTAAAAACTGTCATCAGAATTCTGATCTTTGGGGATCCCTGGGTGGCACAGCGGTTTAGCGCCTGCCTTTGGCCCAGGGTGCGATCCTGGAGACCCGGGATCGAATCCCACGTCAGGCTCCTGGTGCATGGAGCCTGCTTCTCCCTCTGCCTGTGTCTCTGCCTCTCTCTCTCTCTGTGACTATCATAAATAAATAAAATTAAAAAAAAAAAGAATTCTGATCTTTGAAAGCAAATATTAAGATCAAAAACTGCCTTTCAATGTTAGGAGTTCTCTTCTTTTTAAGATACAGACATTAATTTCAAAATAAGACTGAAATCTTAGAAGAGAATATAGGAAATATTTACCCCATTTGTTTCCAACCAGCACTGGACAGGCTGCATGCCGTGTACTATAATCTCCTTCTCCACTGGCAAACAGATTATACCAGAAAACAGCTGTACCCTATGGAGAATAATACAAAATTACCTCTACATAACATATCAGGTTATCATTTTTTGCAATAATTTAATTTTCCTGTGGAAGCATTATCTTCCTAATAAAATTCTAAAAATATGAGTAAATCATTTACAAAATTTTGGTGAGCATATGAAAATGCTAATAACACAAAGCTGCTTGACAAAAGAGTATTTGCCAAAACAAAGCTAACAAACCTTACAATAGCAAGATGGAGGGATAAACATCATATGGAACCCATTTCAGAAATGAAAACTTTTAAGTACTAATCCTTGGCTGTTCACTACTTCTAGATAATCATGGTAAATTGTGCCATAAAAATACTCAAAATTTTATCTAGTATACATAAGGACTACATTATCTCTATCTTTAAAAAATGTAATTCATTAATTAGGTCATGAAATAAAGGGTGCATCTCTTCCTTGGGGAAAAAATAGACTCACAAAATTAAAATAACAAAGGAATCAAGTTTACCTTTTTGGGCCAAACACTTGCTCCTACTTCAGGAAAAACAGTGGCTCCTCCTGCTGACACATCACTCATCTGTAAGAATTCCAGAAACGATTATCAGAAGCACTGGCATAATAAAGTTAAATGTGCCATTGTGAGGGAGAAAGGACACTGCAGAGAATATGAGAACATCTGGACTTCTACTTAACATAGGAAGGTTTGTGCATGCTACTCAATTTTTTACAAAAACAAGATGCTGTTTAGGTTTATATACTTAAAAGAAGTAAAGAAATGATAGGAAGGGAGATATGGGTATCGTTTATATTTTATAGCCAGATATAAAAAGAGATTATTTAAAACCAATAAATCAAGTAATACAGGGGTATAATTATGCATTTATTGCACTTAGAATATCCTCTCCATGGGGGCAGGACTTCTCATTTGTTCATTGCTTAGCTTTAGTGTAGTTACAGTAGGTGTTCCTAGGTATTAGGTATTAGAATATGAAAACGCTAATTCAAAAGGATGTATGTACCCCTGTGTTTGCTGCAGCATTACTTTCAATAGCTAAATTATGGAAGCAACCCAAGTATCTATTAAAAGATGGACAGGGATGCCTGGGTGGGTCAGTGGTTGAGTGTCTGCCTTTGGCTCAGGTCATGATTCTGGTATTGAGTCCCACATTGGGGAGCCAATTCTCCCTCTGCCTATGTCTCTGAGTTCCTTATGAATAAATAAACAAGAAAGATGAATGGATAAAGAAGATAAGGTATATATGCACAATGGAATATTATCCAGCCATAAAAAAGAATGCAATCTTGCCATTTGCAATGTGGACAGAAGTAGAGAGTTTTATGCTAAGTCAGAGAAAGATAAGTACCATATGATTTCACTCACATGTGGAACATAAGAAAGAAACCAAGAAACAGAATTTTTAACTATAGAGAACAAACTGATGGTTACCAGAGGTGGGGGAGAGGAGATTAAGGAGGGCACTTGTGATGAGTACCGGGTAATATAAGGAAGTGGTGAATCACTAAACTGTACACCTGAAACTAATATCACACTGTATGTTAAACTATACTGGAATTAAGATCTAAAAAAAGTTTTTAAATGTAACCTAGAATAAAAACACAAATCTTCTAGATTGAGGAAGTACACGGACAAAATGAGACAAAGGAAACCTAGGCCATAAGGATTGTATCACAAAGTAAAACAAACTATGCTATATACAAGAGTCACATCTAAAACAGGGACTTATAAACACTGAAAACAAAAATATTGCCAGGCAAATGTTATACCAAAGAAAACAGAGTTTGATCTTAATACCAGGCATTGTTTAAATAAAAATAAAAGCATTAAGTGGGATAAAGAAAAATATTTTACTATGATAAATACATCAGTAGCAAAGAGTTATCAGCTCTTTAAGTAGTGAAAAAACTAACTTTGGAGAAATGAAAAAGTTGTGCTAAATGGCCCACTTGGCAATAATATTTAAACAATGGGGGGTATGAATTACTAATCAAAATGCTACAGAATTAGAGGAGAACATAAAAATTGATAATCTAACATAATCAAATGGTCAAAGCTAGTATTTACAGATATTAGACCAAATAATATAGCATCAATATTCATAAAAGCAAAAAAAACCCCACTGAATGTCTTTTAAACATCACCTTTCTAATGAGAGAAATGCAAATTAAAGCTACAGTAACTGCCAATTTAATAAGTAAAAGATGTACAGATCGAAGTCAGACAAACATCACACTTAAAGGCAGGATATATATTGGTACAATTATGGAGAGCTCACCTCTAGAAAGTATACAAGATTTCACTGTATGAATTTTATATAATGTATCAGATTCTCTGGTCTTCTCTTTGAGTCCTTTTATTACAGTATACTTAAATCCTTTTTTTATGGGATCTTAAATCTTTTTGGAAACAGATGAAGTTGTAGGAGGGAGGGAGAATGATAAAGTAGGCTGGAAGGAGGGAGAGAGGATTGGAGGACAGAGGTTTTGTAAAAGACAGGGAAGGCAGCAGGGATCAATAAAGATAGGAAAAGAGACAGCAGAGGTACACAGATTCTGGTAGGGTTTGAGAAAAATAAAAAGAGATGCCATTTTCATATCATTCAAATGGGTTAGGGGGTGGAAAGTGTGATGAAATAAGCAAAATTTAAGTCTAGATATAAAACACATCTTTTTAAGGTAACAAAGGTTACAACATTGTAGGAGATTATATTTTCCAAATATAATATATACCAATATGTCCTGTCCCACGTGTTCTTTTTCCTGTTACACTAATACTTTTTAAAAAGAAAATTTATTTATTCATGAGACACACACAGAGGCAGAGACACAGACAGGGAGAAGCAAGCTCCATGCAGAAAACCTGATGTGGGACTCGATCCCGGGATTCCAGGATCATGCCCTGAGCCACCCATGCATCCCACACTAACACTCTTATCAAGTGGCAGGGTCTATGTCCCCTCCTCCTGAATCATGGCAGATCTTTGTAATTGCCTTGGTTAATAAAATGCAAGAGAAGTGACATTATTTGATTTCAGAGGCTAGGTAATAAAAATGCTATGCATTTCAGCCTTGCTTTTTGTGGGTATGAGCTCTTGTAATCCAGTCACCATGCTGGGAGGAAGCCCAGACCACATGCAGGTGTTCTGGGCCAAATCCAGTCTCAATCCCAGCCTTTAAAATGACCCCAGTGAGTCATCATCTGACCACAGATGCATTAAAGATCCAGAGCAAGAATCAGGAGTGAAGCCCACCCAACCTCACAACTATGATAAATTATTGTGCTCAAAGCTTAAATTGTTTAAATACTTAAAAAAAACATATAGGAAAAATTAAAAAATATCATATTGTTTTGAAACTTCAATAAATAATGTGAATATGTTTATTCATAATGGGGCTTCCAGGGTGCTATAATATGCTCTCAATCTGGCTGCTGCTTACACCAGATGTGTTCACTTTGTGAAAATTTATCAAGTTATAGTACTTATGATTTGTATACTTTTCTGATTTATATCAACAAAAATTTCAAAGTTTGTTAAAATGAGTGCAAATATATAGAGATGCCTATGTACACATATTAACAGTCTATACTCCAAAATATCAGTAATGATCGTCTCCAAGTAGAGACTGTTAGTAATTTTAGCATTAAGGTTTTCATATTACAATTTTAATAAGTTACAAATGCAAAAATCCCCTCTATTTACTCAGTTGTAAAAACTTTATGATGTTATGGGATCCCTGGGTGGCGCAGCGGTTTGGCGCCTGCCTTTGGCCCAGGGCGCGATCCTGGAGACCCGGGATCGAGTCCCACGTCGGGCTCCCGGTGCATGGAGCCTGCTTCTCCCTCTGCCTGTGTCTCTGCCTCTCTCTCTCTCTCTAACTGTGTGTGAGTATCATAAATAAATAAAAATTAAAAAAAAAAAAAAACTTTATGATGTTAAATAAGAGCTAAGGAAAACAAACATCTGAACACATCAAAATAAATGTCATGTAATAAAATCCCAACTTACAAAAAAATTTTAGCTGCAACTTACATAAAACAACCATGTAGCAATTCTGTTTCCTGTCCCCAGCTCTTTGAAAGCATCTGGTTCATCTTTCTGTGAATAAAACACAACAAATTCAATGGTATAAAATTCAGTAATGCAAATTACCTAGTGGCAAATAAACACCAGTAATATGCTAAAGGACATGACAAAAACAATCCTAAAAAGTTCAGATAGTGTGTACTGCACACTGTATAGCAGGCACTCAAATACTTGGATGTCAATTCAGCTTGTACATGAATACTTTTGATAAGACCATTGCAGGGGAAAAAAACCCAGATTTATTAGCCTAAATAATGAAAACCAGTATCTACTATCCACAGATTAATAAAATTAATGCCTATAGCTTCACTTCCAAACCAAACAAAACAGAACAAGACATGATAGCCTCTTACCTACATTCATGAACTCTATTCTCTGTGAGTAAAAAATTTACCTTGAGATTTACTTTGAACTCATGATCCATTCAAATGTTTACTGCTACTATGCTTGTCATTCTTTTGGACAGTCAGCACTTTAATCTGGCTGGAGAATTCACATCTGGCTATTTAAATCTAAATTAAAATACAATACAGTCTCTTGGCAGTTATCCCAGAAAAATGAAAATGGATTTTTCACACAGAAATTTACACACATCTTTATTTGTGATAGCCCTGAACTGAAAACTACCCTAACATCCTTCAAAGGATGAATGATTAAACAAATTGAGGTGCATCCAAACCATGAAATAATACTTAGCAATAAAAAGAAAGACTATTGATACATTCTGAAAGAACATGAACCTCAAAGGAATATTATGCTCAGTGAAAAGAGAAGATCTCAAAAGAATACATACTGCATTTAACAGTTATATAATGTTTGTGAAATGACAATTATAGAGAACAGGTTAGTTTGGTGGTTACCAGCAGTTAGGCATGGGAAGCAGAAGGGTATATATGCAGCTACAGAGCATACTATAAAGGAGTCTGGCAGTGATGGTGCAACTTAACTGTGGTGGTAGTTTCACAAAGCTACACATGTAATAAAATTGAATAGGCACACACATAAATTAGTGTAAATATAACTGGTGAAAATATGAATAAACTTGGTGGCTTGTTTCATTACCTCTTAGGTTTTTTGTTTGTTTTTTGTTAAGATTTGACAGAGAATGAGAGAGTGCGCGCAAGTAGGGGGAGGGACTGAGGGAGAGGGAGAAGCAGACTCCCTGCTGTGCAGGGACCCCCCCCAACAGGGGGCTCAATCCCAGGACCCTGAGATCATGCATGACCTGAGCTGAAGGCAGATGCTTAACCAACTAAGCCACCCAGGCACCCCTCATTCTTCGTTTTGATAGTGTGCCATGATAATGCAAGATGTTAATGTTGGGGGAAGCTGAAGGAAGGGTTCATGAGACCTCCCTGTACATTTCTTTGCAACTTCCTAGGAATTTGTAATTATTTCAAAATAAAAAACTAAGAAAAAATTTAGTTGCACTAATGGCAGGGCTTGAATTGTATGCTTTCACACCATCTAAGACTCAGACATTTTTCAGTAATTGAAAATAGAAGGGAAAGAAACTAAAAATATACACTTTGCTGGCCTACATAGAAAAAGATTCTAGGATTTTGGTATTTAGGCTGGTCAAAGGCTATATATAACACAATATAGGCTGTGTTTTCTTTCAAAAGAATATACCATTATTTTACAATGGTAGTAGATCAAGAAGGTTATTAAAATACCTGAGACAGTTCTTAGAATTGATGTAATTATGATAAAGCTTAATTAATTGAGATTTGGTAATATATAATTTATAACTTGGTAAAGGACAGCTTTTTAGCAAACTGCTTTAATATTATTTTCCAGTGTCTCTCTCTCTACATCTTTTTTGTCTTCCTGTCTCTGTGTATTCTTTTAATTCAGATTTATCAGCTAATTTGCTAATTCACTTCAACTGTCTGTTTTAAATTACCCACCAAACTTTATCTTATTTTTTTCTTAAAGATTTTATTTATTTATTCATGAGAGACAGAGAGAGAGGCAGAGACAAAGGCAGAGAGAGAAACAGACTCCCTGTAGGGAGCCTGATGCGGAACTCGATCCCAGGACCCCAGGATCACGCCCTGAGCTGAAGGCAGATGCTTTAACCACTGGGCCACCGAGGTGCCCCTATCCATCAAACTTTAGATTTCAACAATTACTTTTTTCTACCTAGAGCTTGTTTTTCAAATGTTAAGTCATTTTGAAAGTTTATTAATTTTTATCCTCTAATTTTAAAGAATATTACACAGTTATTTTATATTCTGTATCTGATAATTCAAGTACCCAACATCCTGGGGGGCATCTAAATCGGTTGGCTACTTCAGTTTCACCAATGGCGTTTTATCACCAGTTAGTAATTTCTTTTTTAAGGAGTTCATATTTGGCTGACTTTAATATCTTTAGAATTCCTGAGGTGCTAGAATGAGGATGCCTGTTTTCAACGAGGACAAGAGTTTTTTTCTGCCAAGGATAGGTAACCAAGGAGCACTATCTAACTGGAAAACTTTAACTTCTCCTCTTCTAGGGTAGTGAAAATTCAAATCCAAGGTTATTGTGGGAGCAGGCATATGCTTTCTAACTCCCGGAAGAGTCTCTCTCATACACATTACATCCCCACCAAGTTGATGACAGGCAACTCTCCTTAAGACTCCTGACTCAGAGCAGATTATTTTCGATGCTATTCTCTCTTTGAAGGCGTAACCTTTTTGGAGATTCAGGTTTTATATGTGTGTCTCTCAGGTTCAGTAGCCTGCACAGTGGTAGGTCCTCTCACAGAGCAGTCAGTCATCAAAGCTCCAGATTCCTGGAGACACAAGCCTTTAGCTTCAGCTTTTTTGCACCACCACCCTGCCTTCACTGTAATTTTAGTTTCTAGGTTTTCTTTGTTCATTTTGCCTCTGGGAACTGCCTTTACTTCCTTCCAGGCTCAGCAATGCATTTAAAAGTATGGTTTTTTTTTTTGTTTTTTTTTTTTTTTTTTTTTTTTTTTTACTGCTAAAAAGGTTTTATAGGGTATCATCTATTCCACTGTGCTTCCAAAAATTTGCAAACAGGCTATATATTTTTAATACTAAAAGAAAAGAATTAACATGTCATGCCTGAGTTTCAGTAGAACTCCTATATTCTTTTTTTGTTGTTACTTACCCGTGCAAAATCAAAGTGGGGTTCATACTGTCCTCCAACTCCATAATTGGCTACCTGAAGGAGAGGAACAAAGCATGCATCAAAAAAAAAAAAAAATCAAGAGTACTATTCAAAAAATACATAAGTCCTATTTTGTCATGGTGATCTACTCCTAGAGAAATTAAAGGCAAAGCAGTTTAAATCAATGATAGTTCCTAAGGAACCAAGGATAAAAAACTAAGGATAGCTACTATACTATGTTTTAGAACGTTAGTTAATATGCTTTTCTTTAGCAAATGTTTGGGTACATGTTTTCCTCTAATACATGACTTAAATCTGACCTAGAATTTTATTTATTTTAAGAGTTTATTTATTTATTTATGAGAGACACACGGAGAGAGAGAGAAAGAGTGACAGGCAGAGACACAGGCAGAGGGAGAAGCAGGCTCCATGCAGGCAGCCTGATGTGGGACTCGATCCCAGGTCTCCAAGATCAGACCCTGGGCTGAAGGCAGCACTAAACTGCTGAGCCACCCGGGCTGCCCCGAGCTAGAATTTTAAAATTAAAATGTTTAGAATTAAAATTTCCCAGAATTAACGTTTTGAGATTTCTATTATCAGTTACTAAACAGTTTTCTTTGGAATTTAAATCACGACTTGTGTTTTCCAAATTCTCAAATGCTGGGAAACTCCTAAATCTATTCTTTTAAGGTTTTATTTATTTATTCATGAGAGAGAGGGAGAGACACAGGCAGAGGGAGAAGCAGGCTCCATGAGGGAAGCCCAATGTGGGACTGGATCCTGGATCCCGGGATTACGCCCTGAGCCAAAGGCAGATGCTCAACCGCTGAGCCACCCAGGTGTCCCCCAATCTGTTTTAATAAAATCTCCTACATATTTTTTTACCCTACAGTAAAAAAGGAAGTTAACACGAAACTTAATTATTCCTGATGGCCCTAACAATTTCAATTGGTAATGACAGTGTCCCAGTGTGAAACAGTAAAAGAAGAAAAGTATCTGGTCTGACTGTAAATTCTAGCTTTCTTAGTTATAATATATGTAACTTTTCAATATCATCTGTTTTATTATTTGTAATCTAAGGAGAATGATACCTTCCTTAACTCCTTCCTTGCATCCCAATATGACAAAATAAAAGGAGAATGTAACTTAAACAGCACTGCTGATGAAATGAAAGGAGAACATAATTAAAAGAGTATATTGCCCACAGCAAAGTCCCAAGTCCTATGTAAATTATTATTACTCTAGATATTTGACTCCTTATGTTGTAGACATGTTGAGTTGAATCAGCCTAGTAAGTAGAACTTTATCAAGTAGGCTTAAAGATTCTGTGAAGATGAGAATAAATACAGATCAGGAAATAATAAGATATATATAAGAGTTTTTAGTAATGTAATAAATACCAAGGAAGTTGTAGATTACCAATGGAATAAATGGCAACTTCATTAAGCAAATTTAAAGATAGGCAATCCTGCTTTGCACAGTTCCAAAATGCACAAATCTAATAGTTTAGTCAATCATTAACATCAGACCACCAACAACCTAAGTTTAAATTTCAGTTACCACAACATAGTAACTGTAATTGCATAAAGCACTATGGTCGCTGCTAGTGCTTTAGTCCACAAATTACCATGTAAATAACAGCTGCACATCATGATCAAATACCAATCACTTCTTTCAAAGTCTATCACTGCATATCTGTTATTCAGTTTACACAAAGACAGCAAAGTATGTAGTTGGGTTGCCTCCTATCAATGAAAACCCATGTGATATTTTATTAAAATGGATAGCTGGAAGAGGAACTGGTTAACAAAGATAACATACAGCACAGAAATGGAAAGTAATGATACTTTAAGTACAATTCAAATCAAACCTAAATGGAGATACAGAAAAAACTGACAAGGGGAATGCTTCTACTTGTGCTGTTCCAGAAACTCTACATATACAGTTCCAGAGGAACTGTGAAGGCAAACTTATTTACATAAGGAAAGTGACTGTGATGGAAAGAATAAAAATGTTTTGAAGGAAGTGATATTGGAAAAAAATCTTCACAGTAAAAAACAAACCTTATTATGTATCCTCAAGGATATTTGAAAGCACAAAAGATAAAATGTTGAAAGCTGACCCAAACCTAGATGTATGACAATTTGCAAAGGCAGAGAAAACATGCTTACTCTGTATCATTTCACAACGAGAAGAAGGAATGTTTATTTTTGATAAGTGTTTACAAAGAAATAAAGCACTTTATTTAATTCTCAATATTCATAATATTTTAAATTACCAAGACAATTCAATAAGAATAGTTTTTGTAACAGATGATGCTGAGACTACTGGATAGTCAGATGAAAAGAATGAAGCTAAGACCTCTGCCTCCTACCATGTATAAAATCTGACTCAAAATGGATCAAAGATCTGAATGTACAAGATAACTATAAAACTGTTAGGGAAAAACACAGGTGTAAATCTTTGTGACCATGCATTAGGCCATGGTTTCTTAGACATCTAAAGCACAAAGCAACCAAGAACTTCTGAGAAAGATGTCAGAATAGGAGGATCCTAGGCTCACCTTGTCCCATGAGTACATCTAGATAACACCAAAATCAGTGTAAATAACCCAGAAATGACCCGAAGACTGAAGGAACACACTCTCCACAGCTAAATGTAAAGAGGCCACACTGAAGACGGCAGGACAAGCTGAGACATACTTGGGAGCCAAACGCTGTGGGTCTGCCTGTGAGAGGGAGGGATGCAGTGGAGTGGAGAGGGAAGAACAGACCTTCACATTAGGTGCCCCAGGCAGGGACATGCATGGCTATATGCATATGATGAAACTCTAACATCTGGCTTTGAAAACTAGAGGGTCCTGGTTTCTCAAGTTCTCACAATCAGTGGGGCTTAACACCTAGAACTTTAAAAATCAGTAAGCTCAGCTCTGGGAGAGCTGGAGGGCTAGAAGAAACTGAATCCAGTGCAAAAAGAGCCCAGCTGAGATACAATATGGAAGAGGCAGTCTGAAAGTGCCTGGGGTATATAGGAAGGTAATTTATTTACTATTCTCAGAGCATATGCTGGAGGGACAGGGATTTGAGGGAGACTTCTCAAAGAACAAAAGAGCTAGAAGGTGCCATTTCCTTCCCCTGTCCCAAACTAGAAACACAGATACCTGTGGGAACCAAGGCAGCAAAACATTCTCCTGCTAAAAGTGAGAGCCCTGCCCCAACATTCTTCTACAGACACATCACCTCCATCCTAGGCAACTTCAGATCCCCTCCCGCAGCACAGCTGCATGCGTCTTACAGTACACCTCCCCCTTTCCTGAGCTTTTCTATGGACCCATCATTCCATTCCAACCTGGGCAGGGGTTTTCCCAGGGGCTGTAGGCTCCCTCCTGCAGCAAACCAGTGCAGATCCTGCTAGCACCATGATCTCCAGCCCTCTCCAAAACACTCTTAAGAGTCCACCTGGCTAATTAATGCCACAAGCCTAGCAGTGTGCAAGTAGCCCTGACACAAGCCTCTACCACTCCAAAATGACTTCTGCCCTGGGGAGAGGTGAAGATAAATACACTAGTTAAACTGCAGTCCAGGAGTGGGCTGGGGGCAGACAGTGGTCTGCCTGTAGCTCCCGCCCACCAACAAAAACTTCTCAGGGCACAACACAGGGAAAACACCCAGCAGTTTGGTTCACTACATCTTTGGCAAGTATCTGATCCGACTCAGCTTAAGCCCAAGGTGTTTCCAGACTGGCTCACTAACAACACAAGGACCTAAACCTGCCCACAATAGGAAAAGAGAGCCATTGCAGATGACTGAACTAAAGGCAAAAGTGGCTCAGCCACAACAGTAGGGTACATGCAACACATATAGGAGAAACCCCTGAACACTGGGTTTTGGTGAACAGGGGACATTGTGCTGCAGGGCCCCACAGGACCTCTTCTTCATAAAGCCACTACTTTCAAGAATAGGAGACATAGCTGACTTACCTGACAGAAACAGAGTTAGACAAAATAAGGGGACAGAGGAATATGTCCCAAAATGAAAGAACAGGACAAAAAATCACAAGAGACCTAAGTGAAACTGAGGTAAGTAATATACTTGATTGAGAATTTAAAGTAATAGTCATAAAGCTACTCATGGGACTTGAGAACAAAATGAAGGACCTCAATGAGACCCTCAACAATGAGATAGAAAACAAAAAAGACGGGGAGCCCAGGTGGCTCAGCAGTTTAGTGCCACCTTCAGCCCAGGGCATAATCCTGGAGTCCTGTGATCGAGTCCCAGGTCAGGCTCCCTGCGTGGAGCCTGCTTTTCCCTCTGCCTGTGTGTCTGCTCCCCTGCTCCCGTATGTGTCTTTCATGAATAAATAAATAAAATCTTAAAACAAAACAAAACAAAAAAGAACCAGAGATGAACAATTCAATAACTGAAGTTAAAAATACACTAAAGGGAATAAATAGAACACAGGAGGTAGAAGAACAGACCAGCCACCTGGAGGACAGAGTAATGGAAAGCAATCAAGCTGTACAGGAAAAAGAAAAATAAAATGAAAATAGACTAAGGGAACTCAGTGACACCATCAAACATGGTAACATTTGGATTATATAGTTTCTAGAAGGGAAAGAGAAAAGGAAGCAGAAAATTTGAAGAAATAATAGCTGAAAAGTTTCTAAATCTGGGGAAAGAAACAGAAATCCACCTCTAGGAGGTAGAGAGAGCCCCCAACTAAATCAACAGGGAGGTCCAAACCAAGACATAGAGTAATTAAAATGGCAGAAAGCAGTGATAAATACACAATTTAAAAAGCAGTAAAAGAAAATAATTACATAAGAAGGAAACCCCACAGGGATCCCTGGGTGGCTCAGTGGTTTAGCACCTGCCTTCAGCCCAGGGCATGATCCTGGAGTCCTGGGATCAAGTCCCACATTTGGCTCCCTGCATGGAGCCTGCTTCTCCCTCTGCCTGTCTCTGTCTCTGTCTCTCTCTCTCTCTCTCTCTCTCTCTCTCTCTCTCTGTCTCTCATGAATAAATAAAAAATCTTTTTTAAAAAATGAAAGTGAA